TTGAATTTTACAGCTAGGTCGGTGGCGGACCCTGGGTATCCAGGCTACGTGATGTGTTGGATAGAAAAAAATACAAAGTACAAAATGAAGGCGTACGGAGTTGTGGAACCATGTTTGTTTTCGTATAGGCGCTTATCACAGCATCGTAATTGATCCGACCAACTTCACTCGGGTGGGGGCGATATAAAGAACAATGAAGGCGATCGTCGGATAGAACCCACTGCAGGCGAAGGAGTAGAATGCAAGGGGCTCAAGGACGTTGCCAGTGAGCCTCTGTCCGGGAATTCATGATAACAGTAACTTGCGCGCCGCTGTCCCAGGTTATCCCCATATCTTCTTGCCAAGGGTTTGGCGCCAAATGGAGACCAACTCACTGGGTCGATCATGCCTCCGTCATTGTACAACTACTCTGATACACATGACACTGTCAAACAAACCGATGTTGATGCATGATGGCCCATGTGGTGGTGGAAATGCCGTCAAAATCCGACAGCGGGACAAACCACCAACACAGCATCATAGCTCAGGAGGGTTCTTGCTTTGTCCTTGCTTTGTTATCTATACCCATAATCGACAATGTCGGCACCGAGCTGAGTTGCTAAGCATCTGAGTTGCCGGGTTTCCAGGTTGGGTTCGTTGACCACACAACCCACATACTGGAAGCTGTCCGTTATAATTTTCATCAGCTAGTAAGTCAGGAGATGCGTGGACTGGTCCGTAAGCTAGTACAGGCTACATGGTGGTGTTGGGGACGAGGGGGAACCATTTATCGGTCAGTGGGGGCGAGGCCAAGTGCTAGAATGAACGTTTGATCCGTTCGGGCCGTTCTTTGTCTCCACGGGACGCAGCGTACTTTTACGACTTCGCCTCACCCCCCGAAATCGGGTTCAATCCCCACAGAAATTCGGATTAGAATTCCCCTCCCGAGCCTACCACAGGTAATTTCGGCATCAGGATGACCTACCCAGCTGGGCGTACTAACACTCGCTACGTTTATCAGGAAGTCCAGAACGGCACAACACTGGCCAGGTAGTGAACAAGCAGATCGACGGTCCCTAGGACTCCTTCATAAATGTTGTCATACTCGCCCCTTCACGGGGCTAATGCTATGCCCCGGTTGCTTCTGAAGATGCCATCAAGGGTATTATTTATTATCCCAAGAGGACAAGGGAGGGTTAATGCAAAGAAACAAATGTTGAAGGTACATAAGCGGACTGTTTCATTGATCCTGCTGTAGCTAGAGATAATGATGGCTGCGTATCTACCTTTGTTGGGGTATCTTTATGTTCGGTAATATTACAAGAACCGGAGACAATAAGGGGTTAGTAACGGAAGGTTTATCTGTTATGGATAGAATCACTGCTCGTCCTGTGCCATCCATGGACATTGGGTGTAGCTTATGCGGAGTGTTTGTCGGGGGTTGTAGAGAGAATCGGATAAGGGCCATGGTGCAATAATGTTCTGGAAAGGCCGAGGTCGACTGGCGAGGCGGTCTCAATGATACGGTATATTCATTTCCGCATCACAGCATATTTGAAGGATACGACGCGTTTCAGGTGTTCATCCAGAAGATCACCCACCACCATGATTTATTCAGCCAGGATGCAGTGGTTCGAATGAATGCCCATATCAATGGGGTAGAAAACCCTGGTAGTAATCCCCAAGCTCTTGATACTTCCTGACTGTCCGAATGGTCAGCGGGCACATTCTCCACGATCTTGGGGCTTCTGGCTTAGAGAAAAAAGGAACACAGTCTACTATTATTGGTAGATACTGTTAAAATAAACGATAGTTTATGTGATGGCGTTAGCCTCCCACTTCTAACCTCCGTAGTTTGTTGACCCATGGGGGCTCTGACCTCCAGCAGTGCTTAAGGGAACCGAGAGACAGTAGGGCACTTGTAGTTTGACGATGACAAGATCTCTTTGTTAGTCGAATGAAAGGAATCCTGAGATAGAGAGTCCCAACTGGCGGACGCGTTCCAAGAATAGCAAGAGATAAGATGCGCAAGTTGATCAACAACAAGGACAAACACAACACGCGTCCTGGAGAACGCGTAATGGATCCACGAACTCATTAACAGATCAATTCCACCTACTCCATATTTTCTCTTTGTATTGGTTGGATATGGTCGCAACAACGACAGAACAGGTGCGTATACATATGTTTCATAGAAAATGCATTTAGCTAATCCAACTTGAAGCTAACAGCGCTCGCTAGTACCACCGTCAGTACGTCCTCGTCCAACCTTAGAGTGACGTTCTAGGTCTCATCATATCGCTCGTCATGCTCTTACTATTTACCAAACTGGAATTCTGGAACCTGTCTTCGGCTACTTTGCGCCTCTCGGAATATTGACTACATGCAGTCGTCCACCCGCTCGTCCTCCTCTCCGTAACAGATCACCACGCCCGATCCGTTTCTCGCAACTCCCACAAGCGGGTCGTGGGTGTACTTTTAGGCCAGGACAATGGCAAGACCGTGAACGTCGCAAACTCATTTGGTATCCCCTTCGAAGAGGATGAGAAAGACAGCAAGACATGGTTTTTGGATCATAATTATATCGAGGGAATGTACGAGATGTTCAAAAAGGTTAACGGTAAGTCATGAACGCTATCCTATTCCTAGGACGAGTCATTGAGAAGATATAATTTAGCTAGGGAACGGATGATAGGATGGTACCATACTGGGCCAAAGCTGCGGGCATCAGACCAGGAGATAAACGATCTCTTCAAACGGTTCATTGCAAAGCCTGTAATGGTCATTGTTGATGTACGACCGAACACAGTTGGCATTCCAACAGACGCATACTTTGCCGTTGAGGAAATCAAAGACGTAAGTACCAAGTTCCGGATAGTGTAAAGAATCTTTGATCTCAAAACCCTTTGCAGGATGGGACGGAGACGAGAAAAACGTTCCTGCACGTTCCCTCAACAATAGAGGCCGAAGAAGCCGAGGAAATCGGCGTTGAGCATCTGTTGCGGGATATTAAGGATTCGACGACGACGACACTCGCCACTCGAGTTAGCGAGCAATTGGCTTCGCTGCGGGGTCTTCAGTCGCGGTTAAGTGACATTCAGAAATACTTGGCCGAGGTCGCGGCAGGGACTATGCCTGTGAACCATCAAATCGTGTATCACTTGCAGGACGCGCTGAACCTGCTCCCGAACCTGACTGATGTGGATCTGACGCAGAGTTTCACGACGAGCACGAATGACGAGATGTTGGTGGTGTACCTTAGCAGCTTGTTGCGGGCGGTTATTGCGCTACATGCGCTTGTAGATAATAAGGCTTCGATCGGGCGCGCCGAGTTTGAGGAAGGTGTGGAGAAGGAAGAGGGTAGTGCGGAGAAGAAAGAGAAGGAAGGGGAAAAGAAGGACACAAAAGGTGACGGGGATCAGTAGAGGGTTAGTAGAGGACGTGTGTAATGTTATTTCAGTTGCCTCATGTTATGCTGGTACAGAAACCGAAAGACATGCGGCAGCGGATCCATCAACGAAGGGCCTGATTAGGCCGAGAACGGAAAAATATTCTGGCGCCTATGTCAATTACGTAAGAAGATATGAGCTTTTTTCTCCCCACCTGACTCGCTCCTGCACTCCTCAGACGCCCTCGCCCTTCTCTCTCTTACCACCATCA